GCAAAATCGTGCATAAAATCACCTCAAACTTCAGCGGTCAAGCAAAGCAAAAATTTGCCCTTCATATGGTATGCCTACGTAAATGAAGAAATATATATGACTGAAAGTAAATTAAGGTGGGAAAAGTAACTTGCAGATTAACAACGGTTTATCGGAGCATTGATCAAGGTATAGTATTTTTACTGAGCATTACTCAGGTACAGTCTGTCAAAAAATACTTACTATTTTGCACTTAATACTTCATTCCGAGGCGCTGTTAAGGAATTCCAAATATGGACTTTTAAATCAGTCATGTTAATTACGCACACTTCTCGAATTAAAGAAAAGTTTCTGAGGAACTTACAAAGAAAATTCCAAAAGAAGGATACTTAATTTAAATTTGTGCTCATAGCTACTTCAATGAATTTAAGTAAACGCTTCCCGTCTATTAATGCAATAGACTTGAAAGGGCCGAAGAGATAAACTCAGAGTAAGATAGAGAACAATCTTGCACGCCTGTGCATAAGTTACGCTCTTTGGTTGAAAAGGCTTCACTGCCATTTGGATTGTAGCTTGATTTCAGAGGGTAAACTAGTTATTTTAGGAGTTGCAATCAATTGGTAGAGCTGCACTCACAAATGAGGTAACATAGAGAATATAAGAGTCTTTAAAGGCGCAGCTATAATAACTAGGCAGACCTTGTGGCACAGATGTCCTTTCACCTGTTTATCTATAACATGGTGTTGTTAATTACTGTTTCTGCTAATATCTTTCTTTGTTTCTAGTTGACTTCTCTTCGAACAAATATTCTGGCCTCAATTTGGTGTCGTAATTTTACTTCATGAGGTGTTCAGCTGCTGAAAACTGTTTTACATGTAGAGAACTTAGACAAGTTGAGGTGCCTCTTGCTCTGAGTATGATCCCATAATCATAAAGCATTAACACTGACACCGTATCTGTTCATTTTGTTTTTTTCACACAGATTTCTTTAAAACGAAATCATTGCTATGCGACCGTTTCCATTATCTTCTGC